AGCATCCAAAGAATCGCCCATCTCACCACGAACGGAGAGGTTCTCGAGACTCTCGCAGCTTTCTTTCCTCAGTTCCCGATCTAAGAACTCCGCATCTTCGCCAAAGAAGCTACTTGGCCGTAGCTCTATACGAGGCCTTCACATTTCATCTCCCATGGGCTCACCCGAACTGAATTCTCGAGACTACCCTGATAGACAACCCCTCTCACCTCGCACTTATAATCCAGGACCTCCTCCCTTGACTCCCCATGAACAAGCAAAATTGAACTCTCCTCAGCCCAGCACGGCACCTCCCCCATCATTCCTCACTTCTCCTCCCAGCAAGGAGTCACTAGATAGCCGCAAATTCCGCCCTACTCCTCCATCATTGAACATCAATACAGCTCACAGCACACCTCCACTGCCGTTCCGCGTTGCTTACGATAGCCCCATGAGCGCACCATCCACTAAGACCACCATCGTTGAGCGAAGGACGAGTCTTTTGCATGGACCACGAACTGGTGTTCCTCGAACGCCTTACAGCCCATATATGCCCTTTACCCCCATTACACCCCTAACGCCCAGCCATGTTGTCACCCGCCAGGAGCGGAAGCAAAGACAGAAACGGGACGGGCCTAGAGTGTTGATGGAAGAGGACCTAGTTAAGAGTGACGAAGATATGTGGTCATAGTTTAAACGCTTATGATTCTTTCCTTTGTTTTATTTCTTTCTCTTCGTTTCATCTTCCCGGCGTAAGCGTTGTCTATATATTCTAATCACTATTTATCTATTTATCTATTATTTATTTATTTATTTATTTTCACCTCGGAATAGCTAAATTTGGGTTCCTTCCCGGAAGCGTAATTCCTATCATTGTGCATCTACTAGTTACGTTGAAGCTCGCATAAAAATGACTTGGATACAGAGCTGCTTGCCATATATCTACATGCTGAACGTTCCAGGACGATTGCTAGTTCGCCTCAGGTGCCGTGAACACAAAATGCTGCATCCGCTGCCAGTCGATAGTCTCAACATGCTTTAGCCCTGCCTTTTCTGCCGTCTGAATCATGTCCTCAACGCTCCAGATACGAAATCGGTGGGTATAATGGCAGATCTCAAGAACTGTCTTGTTGCCCTCCTTATCTACCTTTGATATTTCTGTATCGAGCCGTCCCACATGGTGACCATCCTCAACGTACTCGCGGTGGAAGATAGGTTTAAAGGACAACGAGGAACCCTTGCTATATTCGTCCATGGATTCCGTAGATTCATCGTAAGTGCTTGGAACCACACCGTCTTTGTATGCTCCAGCTACCTGGAACTCCAGAAGAGAGATACAAGCTCTACCGCTCCCGGGGCGTAATAACTTGGCGATATGGTAGAAGAAGGCATATATGTTGGCTTCACCCTCAATATAGCCGATCCCCCCATCTGCACAGAGAACAAAGCTCAATTGCCCTCTGAGTTGAGAAAGGTCTGGCTGAGCGAGCATGTCGCTCGCATCGCCCACAATCCAAGTGACGCTGCCAACGTTAGAAAGCTCAGAAGCCCTGCTTTTTGCTCGCTCAACCATGGAAGCAGACTTGTCGAGCCCAATAAATCTGGCATCACTCAGGTCTTCGCCTGATTTAGCTGCTTTTGACGCCATTTTGCGGAAAATACGGCCCGAGCCTGCTCCAATATCCAAGACGATAGTGGGATCCGTAGGAGATTGCTGGGGTCGGTCGAGTCTCAGGAACATGTCCCAATACAGTTTTCCATCGTCGAATCCCTCGAAATCCATGTCTAATGCTGAATCGAGAGCCTTTGCCATGTAAACGGAGTCATAATAGCTGGTATGCGAAATATCTCCCTTCGAGGTATAGTCAATCGTCATTTTGATATAAAGAAAAATCGGGCTCAATTGGACTTTCAGCCAGTTGCTAGATGCCTTCAGGCAAAAAAGATGATGGCAATGGTTGTGAATAGGGCAGTTGAAGGCATTATTTGGTATATCAACTTAGCCATGGCGCCGGTTATAAGTACTGCTAACTCTGTTCAGCAACCCAGTACGATTTTTCCTTTTCTATATTTAAAGATCTAACCACGTAGCCATGATTAAAATTCGTGGCTTATTTGAATAGGAGAAAATCAATCCTCTTGGTGATTGAGTGAAGAAACGGGGAATATCTGTATGCAGAAGCCTTTGCAGAAGCCACATTCCCAATTTATGGTCCTTCCACTCCCCACTTTTTTACACTTTTGCAATTACCAGATTGCTGCTGGTTAGATGGTTAATAGTTAGCTATCTTGGGCCATCAAGTGTGGGTTGATTCCTGTCGTTGGCAAGGAGCCCATGTGAACAGGTGCATGAAAACCCAAGGAGGGATTGGTATCTGGAGATGCTGGGCCTTTAACCCCCAAAGGCGACGAAGCACCTTCGGACGAATGCATAGAACCACACCTTGCCGATCGGTTGCATCCTAAATATATAATCTAATGTGAGCCTAGCTGCCTCTAACCGATGCATGATGTGATATCCATATACTTGCAGTTTTTAAGAGGCCGCATGCTTCTGTCCTTCTGACCACAGTCACGAATTTGAGGCAAAAGTGGTGACAGTCTTCCTGGCCTTCTCGCCCTCGTGCCTGCATGGCTATAGCCGTAATCCCAGCGTCACCCAACATCCACGTAGGCACCTGAGGCTACCTGCACTCCGGGCTGATAATCCCAGTCGAGTACCTACGGGTATAGTGCCCACGGCTCTTCTTGTTTGCAGCAAAGGACGGAGTTAGTGTCGATGTGGCAGGTAACTAACTAACTAGTTAACTAGTTTGTTGGGCGTTAGTTACACCAGCCAGCTCTCCTATCAAGGGCTGGAACTAGTTAAGTCGACTTGTCCCAGCGGTGAATCATATCTGGATACTTGCGCTGGGACGAGTTTAGCAGGTCTGTAGGGGAATGTATGTCCGACCACGGTTGGTCATGCCATTTTGAAGTGAGTATGCCACCACACTACCCAGGTAGGTTCTGACTCTGACCCTACCGATTGCTACCGATAGGTATCCTGCTGCCGGGGGCTTTGCACACTTTTGGGCCATGACCCTTAGAGATGGGGTATCAACAGACGAGAACTAGGTCAAAGAATCAGCCAGCTATCCCGCGAAAGAAAGAAATGCCATTTTCGTGAATCACACGCACCTGGACTTGGAGACAATTCGAAACCTACTGGTTCTGTCAATTGAATGCTTTGCATATACACCTCTCTTCTATTTGTCTTTCCAGTTTATATTACAAAGGACAGGGGATTCTTCAAGATAGCGCTTGTTCAGGTAGATTAAGGATGGCTTAGAGCTCGTAGGATAGTTAAGCGAGCATCTATGAGTGCTCTTCAGTGATTGGACATAGCTAGTTAACTAACCCCTAGAATAAAATAGAGTCCATCGAAGTCGAGCCTGTCAAACCTCGGGATATACTCAGATATAGCATCATTCAATGACGCTTTGCTCAAAAATCCATAAATCATGGAGTAATTGTCTTTTCAGCGGGTGTCATATGCGGGTAAACGGCCTCTGTACCCTGGCCAGCCAGCCAGCCAGGCTAACTAGTTATCAGCTCAGTAATAATCATACCTGCGCTGTGCTCTTCGTCTCCTCTCCTTTTCTAAAAGGGCGATCCCGGTCATCAAGATCATGATATCCAGCTGCTCCCCTGCAAAAGCATACTCTGCTGTGTCAAACAACTCAATCTTTCCCTTCTTATTCATGCTTTTCAGTCCGTTATTGGCAATAACAGCCATGATTTTCCCAGTCTCCTCGTCAACAAGCTTATAATTGCACGCACTTAGCTTGGAAGGTTTCGATGATTCCACTCCCATCGAATGAGTCCTCTTCCAGACAAAGGCACGACGTCCAAGCTCCGGCCCCCGCCTCATGCTTTGCACTAGAAGCTCCATCTCAAACCTATACGTTGAATGGTCACGACTTTCCCGCGTCAGATCTTCCCATGTCATATCTTCGGCACTTGTGCTGACATGGCCGATCTCGAATACATCGTTGCTAAAACGGTCGTAATAGCTCTTTTGCGGTTTAGGCATCAATCCAATCTTCGAGCACGTTGAGAATAAGACAAATTTGCAAACGGCAGCCAAGTGTCCCTTTTTATCCTCACCCCGGTAGAGGCTTAGGTCAGGAGTTCCTGGAGTGAAGTACGAGTTGTCGACGTGGTATAGAGGCCGTTTCTGCGGGTCCGATATCTTGTAATGCACCGGGAATGAATTGTATATGTGAAATATACGGGAAGAAGGAGATGATGGCAGAGAAGCCAGGGGAGAAGACGTTGATGTCGAGGGAGATAACGGCCAGGACATGATGGCTGCTTGTTCAGCAGTTGCTGGGAAGTGGAGAGATTCAACAAGAGATGAGAAAAACGAGAGGCAGGAAACGGGCGAAGAGACCCGGTAATAACCTGAGTGACATTTTCCAGAAAATTTAACGTCCTGGCTGGAGCAGTTCTCCTCTTTTATATATCTCCAGGGCTTGCTTGTCTCTTCACTGGCCGGCCTCCACTTCAAGGAACAGCCGCGGGCCAGCAAGATGGGGCTCAACAGCCGTTTAAGCTTAACGCGGTCTTGGCTTGCGCTTTGTCCCTTTCCCAAGCGCGCGAGGAATACGACGAGATGCCAGATGAGGATCAGAGCAAGGCGGAGACGCAAGTCCGCAGACTGCCAGCACAACTCGTCAACGGTCGTGAAACACAGCTCCCCGCGGAAACTATCTACATCGGAAGTGACAGCATTTCATCGACTTCTCTCGGGTCTCTCTCCGCCCTGTGAACGTGTCCTTGTGGAAATCGCGCGAGTTCCAGCATAACCAGCGGAAGCGACTGAAGACGTCGCACAAAGGCATGGGTCTCCAATATGGAAGCGAGCCTGGAACTTCTCCACGGATAAAGGAGTCTAGGAGTCCCCTTTGAACCACGGTTCGAGTTGTGCCTTGAAGCTACTTAGTCACCATAACTCTCTAGCCGGTAGCGAGCAATATCCAAAGCAAGCATCTTGATCCGTGGCGCGAATGTCTCGGTAACTAGCTAGGATACTGTACCCACCACCACCGGTCAAGATGTCTTAAACGATTTTTAATGGTGGAGATGTGCGCTACATCTATCCTTAGATCAGCGAGATTCTAGAAATTCCGGGCACTGCGGCAAAGTGTAGAATTATTCCATAAGCAGCAGAAGGCTCGGCTTCGAGTCGGGCCGTGAAGTGTAGCGGCAAATTGTGGTTCGAAGGCAAGATGGACTTGACTCGGTCTTGTTGCCCCTAGTCTTGGGAGAAGCCACGGGGTTCGAGATGTTGAATGTCCCTGGGGACCGAGGGGTGAGAAGGCGAAGCAAGCCTGTCCCGCTCTCTTTCCCCAGGGCTTCAAATCCAAGAAGCTATCAAAAATCGATTATATCCACATTATCTGGACCAATATGTTTCTCAATTGCACGCTCTCCAAGGGAGATTAAAGGTGCCGTCTTTAACCACTAATCGCAGGCCTAACCCCCGGATCGAGTGTACTCAAGGTCCCAGATCCGGATATCTCACAAAAACGAACGCATCTGGGATGCTAATAGCCCTTATAAATATTGAGGAATTTGTTCCATTTAGAGCAGCCTTATGCTCATTGCTCCTTTTCGGAAGGTGGCAAAAGTTCGAAAATATTACCATTTTCACGGCTGGTCGACTCGCTTTTTGGCATAGTGATATATATGCCTTGCATTGCTTCTCCTCAGATCCCAATCCAAGAACGTCGACATATTTAACCGTTCATTTTATCGTACTAGCAAGATTTTAGAAGACATATACTCTCTCTTTCTCTCTCAGATACAATGATGATCTGATGTCAAATTCTCAGCCGTTAGCCCCGGGTTTAAAGGCTATGAAGGAGATCTGATAAACAGCGTCACCAAAGCAGACGTGATATTCTGCTGCAGTTCTATAGATATCCCACTACGGAGTATTTCTTACGGAATACTTACACTCTACATAATCTACAGGCGCAAAGGGTCGATTTTATCACTGCCGCAGGGTCGTGTCGGCCAAACATTACCGAATTGGATCCCCGCATCCTAAAGGACGCTACGGAGGTTTGCCGGGTCCGTAATAATTGCCAGGCCCCAGTTATGTACGAATCGTGGAGCCGTGCGTGATGGAGGATACACTCAAATCTTGCCTCGAAGACTCAGGGGAAACAATCCAGGCCGAACTTGACCCCTGTGCCTTGTGGAGGTTGGAGAGCTTATCATGGCGGATAATTTCGCCGAGAGTGGCGAATTTCCGAAAGGTGATTTTTTGGACCGGACTAAAGAAGGGTGTCATTATGAGTGTTCGATTAGGAGTGTTGGATCTCGTTCTTGGTAAAGAACTATGTCATCGTGCAATACGGTAGTTAGGGAAGCAACACTATCCCTGCACTTTGGCAGCTGAATCGATATCGGCTGCAATCATTAGCACATATATGTTTGGATATATTGGCTATAAATACATAGCAGCTGCATTTAGTACCTTGTCTGACGCTTAAGGGGGATCTCTTTACCGCTTGATTCACACAGGTTGAACCACAATAGAGCCTCTGTTGAATTGCTCCATTCAATTCAGCAGAACCCCGAATTTCTGGACCGAGGCTGAAGAAGGTTTTTCAGCGGAACTCTTGCATCATAACCAAACTCGGAATATTGATATCATCGGACCCCGGAGTCAAGACCATATTCAAACACGACATATATATAACGTGAACGGGGAGACACATACGGTTTTGCTTCATGCAGCAACACGGACATTCCACTATGCCATATTCCAGCGAATACTACTTCTTTGCAATTTTCATGCTTCGTCCCAAAGGCTAAATCTATGCTCATATGAAATAATGCCTACACCCACTACTATCCTCCTCCCTGATGGTTACACGCTCAATGTAACCCCAGTCTTTGGAGGATTCTCCTTTAAGGCTGCTAAACTTAACTCGAGCGAAGGGAGCCTTTTACCGTCAGGATGGTCAATAGTGATAAACTCACTGCGTGAGCCTAAGACCTCCAAAGCTGAGGCAAATTCTGATGACTATTTCGACGAAACCCCCAAAAACGAAGACAAGAATCCATTCGAATGGGAGTCAAACCGTTACACCCACCCAACCCTAGACAGCGACTATTTCTTTATATCATCAATTCACTTTGCTTCAAGTAAAGCTGTTGTACCGAAATCCATCGCAACATGTCAACTTGCACTAATTCTTTGGTCAACCTTATATTGGTACTTTCACCAAGCGGCACCGAGTAGCCGTCTCACTACCAAAGAGTCAGCTGCAGTCCCAGAACGAGCTCGACCAAGGGGGGAATGGGTGGTGCATATCAGGCATGAGGGGCTTCTTAAGGGCCGGAACTTATTGCTCAAACTGGAGAGGATGGGCCTGGTCACAACAGAAGACTCAATCGTTGGGCTTGAGGACCCAAATGGTCCTCCAGAAAAGCTGGACATGTTCGTCAGCCGCAGGAGCTTTTGGCAGATTGATCCTCATATATTTCTGTTTTCTCTTACGCCTGATATGACTCCGAAGTCAGAATCGCCATCTCGTTCAGGGACTAGCTCACCGGCAGAGAGCTACAGCAGCGGAGGCCGAAGTAATCGAATGTCCGCTTCCCCTGCTCCTCTTGGGTCGTTTTATTCCAGTGGCCATGTACCATCCTATTTTCCTCCACCACCAACCCAATGGGTCATGCTTGATGGGTGGCTTCGGCATCCAATCCGTCAAAAACCTCCTCGCCAGGGCGAAACATTTTACATCCGCCACATCCCTAGTCTACAGAAAACACTATCATTCCGTGTTCCGAGCCTTTTTACACATTCGCCGCCTGATACGGAGGAGACTGCGTTAGGCCGATACCATAGGGCGTTGTGCATCAACCACAATAACATGCTCGAAAGTATCAAGCCCCTGGTGCTCAAACCTCGGGGATCAGACCTTGAATTTCTGCATACGATACTAAACACACCGAAATCTAAGGAAATATGGGGTTCAGGTGGACCGGTTAATACTCAAGAGGAGTTTATCAAGGCTCGCCTTACCTCTAAGCACCTATTTCCTGCACTAGGATGTTGGAACGGCAAGCCGTTTGGATATTTTGAGATATTCTGGGTCAAAGAGGGGTCCGTCCAGCGACCGTTGCCTGTCCTTGTTGACGATTTTGACCGTGGTATTCGATGTACAGTTTTGGATGAGGAAGATAGAAGGCCTCATCAAACCCAAGTGTGGCTAAACGCACTTATCCATTACTGTTTGTTAGCAGACAACAGAACCCAAGCTATTGCTGTCGGACCCAGAGTTGATGACGATGAGTAAGTAATGGCCTTGATTGTTATATACACGCTTCCAACCAACTAACGACTTTCCAACAGGTTTCTTTCCAGCCTTATCGAAGCGGGCTTCTATAAGGAAGGAGAGTTTGCCCTCCCACAAAAACAATGCGCTATTATGAGGCTCAAGAGGGCCAATTGGGAGGCTCCAACGCTTTGACGTATACGGTCATTCTGTTTTATTATTCCGTTTCTTTGTATTTAACCCTTCTAGTTTCAGCTCCTAACCAATATATCTGCTGGGGTCTCTCGTGACAGGTGAAAAAGTAGGCATATCTAGCTTTGGACAGCTGATCTGAACTTCTTTGACATGCTATATCAATGTGATAGTATTAGCAGCCGTGCGAGTTAACCAATTTGTGACATATAGACGGTAAAAGCTGCCATAACTCGGGATATAGTTTCGTTGCGAAGCGGCTGATAGACGCTAACTCTGGTAAGGGGACGATTGGCACATTAAAATATGCCATTTGAAATGACGTCTGATATCCTGTAGATGTCCCGGTTGATAATTTTCCTTGGCCTCACTACCAGTTCCTGTATTAGCCTTACCAATTTTTGGCTGGGAATAAAAGAGGCTGGCGAAGTGTATTGAAGTTGAAGTGTAGTATCTCCATGGCAGGCTATCGGGTCTCATAATCAGGGAGAAAGTGCTCTTGATTCTCAGCTTCCAGATAGTTGAAGGCCTTCCATTTGTCTCATTAATGTCGAACTTCCTTCCTCCTCCTCGACCCCAACAAGTTCCACACTTGTTTTTGGCCGACTTTTATTCAGTCCTTCGAGAAGCATACACGCCTTGCATATTTTTTGACTCGACATATAACCACATTTTTCACACTGTCCTATCGTTTGGGTCTTTAGGGGCTTTTGCCTCTTGTCACGGCTCTGGATTGCTACAGACGGATGTGTCGAGATAGATTTCCCGGGTTTCTTTGGCAGAGAAGATAGTGATATCTCGACCTCGCGAGACTTAGCGTCTTCATCTTCGGTGAGCTTTTTCTCCATATCTGCCATTTCTCCGCCACTGCTTCTTCCATTCTGACTTCCACAACCACCTGTAGAGAGCTCATCAACTCCATTGGATTTTATGGATGAGCACCCGGTGCCTCCACATACCTCAGCTGGCACCAACTTAGCCATATCCTCCCCGCTCCGGACAATATCGAGAATAGCGCTAGGCCGAATTCTCTCCAGATCCTTGATAAGGGTCCTAGCACTCCCCCTAAACGCTTCTGGGGAATATATGCACTCAGTGCTGAAGTAATCAAGCTTTTTATGGTAAGCATATAGGACAATCTCCTTTTCATACGCATATTTCAAAGGCTTGCTCCTTTTGATATCGCTGGCGGCCGATCCCGTAATTATGCTGGTCGAACGTGCAAGACGAGGAAGGTCACCACGTAGTAAATTCATCATAACCGTTTCCGCAACATCGTCGGCATTGTGTCCGGTAACGACGTGTTTGATATTCAGTTTTGCAGCGCCACGGTCAAGAGCCTGGCGTCGAAAGACACCACAGTATGTGCAGTTACCCTTTTTTCCAATTTCCGCAACAACCTGGTCCATTGTCCAACCATATAGTTCTCCATAGCTGACTATTTCCAGTGGCATTTCGTATTGAACCGCATTTCGCTTTACCGTCTCCAGACTATCATCACGGTAGCCCTTTATACCTTCGTCAATAGAAAGTAAAACCAGGTCAAGGCCATAATTATATCGCTCATTCAATGTCTTTAAGACAGAAGCAAGAACAGTACTATCTTTTCCACCACTCGCACCAATAGCAACCCGTTCACCGGGGACGAACAGCGAGCCGTTTGTGATTGTTTGATGGGTTTCTGTTTCAAAAATGGTAAGGAAGCAATCTTTGCATAGCTTATGGCGGTTTTTCGGTCGAATTATAACTGCTCGCGCAGCTTTGCAGTTGAAACATAAGATTGGAGGCATGGTTATGTCTTGTTTCTTCTTGCTCTTCCGCGAGTCACCTCTTTTTTATCACTTCGAGTGTTGCTCATTAATCATAATTATCGGGGGGGGGGGGGGGGAGGGGGGGAAGATTTTTGTTATCGATAAGCCCGCCCTAAATTAAAGTTTGGTATATTCACGTGATATAATCGCTTAGTCATATTTATCACTGGCGTCTTTTAACCGCGTAGAAGCGCGCTTCTGCTGTTTACGTCTCGCTTGTCAATAAGGACAGATATTTTAAGGGTTAACGCTTTTGAATTTTCGCGTGTTGATGATGCGGGAAGTCGAAATTATGAACTACATTTTTTTCTATATTTCTATAGGCGACAGTTGCTAAAAATCGAACAAAATGCTCGCTATCACAAATTCAGAACTCAGTACCGTCTCTAGGGTTTCCAACTTACCCTTTTGGCGACAAATCGCGCAAAATAGACCAGACCTAGCAGCACAGGGACTTCTATTAACGGACCAACAGTGGATGCCAGCGCTTGGCTACTATCAGCACCAAACGTCGCGATCGCAACCGCGATAGCAAGTTCAAAGTTATTACTCGCCGCGGTAAAACTCTGTGTGGTTGACAATTGGTATCCAAAGCCCAGCCGATAAGTGATGTATAACGTGCTGAAGAAAACAATGATGAAATATACCAGAAGAGGTGCAGCAACTCGAACCACGGATACAATTTGATCAACAACCTGCTTTCCCTGGGACGCGAAAAGTGCCAGAATGATGAACAGCAGCCCAATCAAGGACCAAGGACTAAGCCACTTGATGAATGTATTGTCGTACCAGACAGGCCCCGCAGCGTTCCGCAGTGTAAATCGGGTGACTATGGCAGCACCAAGAGGTATTCCTAAGAACACAGCAACGCTCTTTGCGACGACTGAATAGGACAGCAGGATTGTGCCCTCTGAATGGCTAATTATTTTGATAAATAATAGCGCAAGGGGAGCAAAAAGTACCATCTGCAGTAACGAGTTGATAGCGACTAATATCGCACAATATTCATTGTCCCCTCCTGCAAGGCCCGTCCAAATGAGAACCTGAGCGGGGATAGTCAGCAGACATGCGCACTAGGAGATGCGAATCGGAGGTATACCATGGCAATGCACCTTGCTAGACCAACCAGAATCAACCCCTCTCGCAATTCCGGTTTATCTGGTAGAAACGCCCACGCAAGCGCCAGCTTTGAAATGGATACATTAGCAAGTTTCTCGGCCGCTTAAGCTCAGGTCAGCATGTTCTTACCATCAGGAATGGAGCAATTATCCAGTTTATGAATATGCTAAAAGCCATTTGAATCCATATCTCACGAGTTCTGAACACTTGATGCAAAGACTCGAAGCGCACTTTACACAGAATTGGGTACATCATGACGAGCAATCCGATGGCTTCGTAAAAGTACCGGTTAGTATCAACCTCGACCTAGTCATCAAATAAAGGCTACAAAAGATGGTCTCGGCCCAACAATCAAGGTTGAGAAGCATGGATAACTCACCAATTGGTAGCGAAACCCCCACAAGGGCACCCTTCTGTAAAGAACGTCCTATGTTATTAACAAAATTTCCGAGTATTATCCCGATTGTCATCGCTAGAAAGATCCATAGGGCCAAATATCTGTCTAGAATACCCAGGCCCCTAAATATCGATGTTGGCTCCTTTCTTTCAGCCGAAGGAGAATCCTGTGGTAGCTTTTCAATGTCTTCGATTTGGCCCAGAGCTCCATCTCGACACTGCCCCCTTTCCGGCTCTGCTGCTGAAGCAGACATAACTGGCTTGGGGTATCAGAATAAATTCTGTCGACATTGACCGAGATAAGCAACACTTGAGAAACTACCACGCCTTTGTATTACGCTTTTATTATTCCCGCGCTTTTCCCACGAGTGCCAAGATATAAAACAGGTCATCAGGTGCATGTTATTGGTCACCAGAATCTTCATTACACGTGACTTGGACGCTACCTAACCTACCTAGGTAGGCGGGGATTAATTATTTGAACTTGCGATAATTGAAATACTGGAAAGACAAGCTTAAATCTCAGGAGATGAAGACAAGACAGCTGTGGCTGACTAAAATGATTTATGGCGTATCTGATGATGAACTGCTAGTATATCCTCTGCATGATCGCATTCCACCCATTATTATCCGAAAAGCCACCCAAGGAAACCCAAGGCCTAAATGATCTATCTTCCCATCTGTTAAACCATGAAGGGAAATCTTCAAGGCGGGCGGGAGTCATCTTACCAGAATTCCGAATTGGCCAGTTTCCGCATTGCAAGATGTTTAAGCAATTCACCATAGACACTAAAAAAAAGGTATAACAAGAAGGGAAGCCCAGGAATCCATGACTTTTCCGGCAAAGTCACTCATGATACCGTTCACTGAATTACTATGCGTCACGGTTTTGCTGTCAGTAAATGCTTGTTTTGTTTGACACCCACCAAAAGTGCGATGTGATATCGCCGATGCCAGATAGGATTTCAAAACCCATCTGACGCAGGTCTAGAATGCTTGAAAATTACTCACTTGCTAAATTGAAAATAAAAGTGGGTGTCAGTTCTTCCGCTTTGGGTTCTTTCCATTAAGGCTTTCCTAGGAAAACTTACAGCACCGCCTCCAAGGAGGCCTCCAGCTAATGGCAGACCCTTTACGAGGCCTCCAGCTGGTAGATTGTCAACAGCAGATGGTGCAACCTTGCCGGCCTTGAATAATCGTTCAGCAAGTCTCGACCTGAAGATTTGTGCGGTGTTTACTTACAGCGCCTTTTGCTGATTTCTGATTGGGACAAAAATGCCATGTTAGCAGACTGCTCAACTATAGCTGGCTTCTCAATCAGTGATCTTGATAACATACGGCAAGAGTAGTAGCACTCTAAGGAAATGGTTAGCAAAGTAGCCCGTTAATTTTCACGGATTCCAGCCTTGACGACGTGTTGTGTCCATCGGTACAGTGACTTACCCCAAGAGTTCCAACAACAGGGAGGTCTCGCTCTTCAATAGGGGCGGCAAGAGCCAAAGCACCGGCAAAGAAGACAAGGACAGTCTGGAACTTCATTTTCGTAGATAGATTCTATCTCTTTGTTAATACATGTAATTTTTATATCGGTAGGTGGGTGCTGGCATTCGGCAAAGTCACCTTGATGGAGTTTGGTTGGTAAGGAACGAATGAATGTGAGTAAGGAGTTGGGATAGTAGGAGAATAAAATGAGTGAATGGATGATATTGAAGATGCAAGAGATATGAGGATGAGGAGGGTTCAATGCCTGCTATTTAACACCAGCGACCAGGTCCTCTTGGTGTTGATGCTGCTACCCCTGATTCCGTGTCATGGCAAGACGGTGCTCGACCCGGCGACGTCGTGTAACAACATACTTGCCGTGCGACTCTTAATCTTCTGACTGTTCTCCTTAGTTCATTGCAAGCCTTGGAGTGAGAAAGTCGAAGTCTGTTGCGGAGATTGTCTACACGGATCAGCTGTTTCTGTGAGAGGTCTCACAGGGCAAAATTCAAATGTGCAATGGCAACGCAACGCTCAAAACAAATTTCTTCACCACCGATCAGCGTCAATTTCATGATGCATCGACACTGATTTACTTGATGGACGGCAAAAGGGGTCGAATATCAGTACTCTTACTGGCCATTGATCAACAGGTACCTGAACGCGCATGAAATATCAGGGGAAATGTCCTCGCACACGTCGTCTAGTAAATTATATAGCTAGCCTATCCCGCAGGACAGCGCCCCTGTGTATGTACCTGAGCTCCAGATCTTTGGACTATTTTCTGTTCTCGTGTAATTTAGATGACGTGCCATATCGCCCCCTCTCCTATTTTATATTGACGGAGCACAAATTTATTTCGCAACCGGCGATTAATGCCACCCAAAAAGGAATACCAACCTGCTTTGGTTGAATATCCCCGCAAAATAGAATAGTCTGTTGCTAGAAGTTGGAAGGCAGGGCCAACGCATATCCGTCTCATCTTCTCCATAACGATGGTGTACTAACCCATTTGTAGTATTTAGCGCGATATTCCAGTAAACGCGGGTAGTGGGCTCAGATGATATCTAATTTATCGGGAGAGGAGGCGACAGCGCTGCATGTGTGGATTAGAGTACAAAGCGCTGATTGAGACTCATCCCCAGGCCTGACTGGTCAAGTAGCTGAGCTTGGTCACTAGACGGGATATCATGGACCCAGAGAGATATGGAGGACACGGTCAAGGGTTGACTCCTTCTCCTGCTGGGAAGCGGAGCCGCCTTTTACCCTCCAGGGTAATACGCAATCAGGTGAGAAGAGAAAGAAATGCAGGATGTTACTATGGACCGGGAAAGGGTGCATAGTATCATCCCAATGTATCTTCCGTCCAGATGTCATATCAAGGGGATGATACAGCAATGGGGAAGTAGGCGTGAAATGCAGGCGACTTTGTTTATTCCTTCTACCGGGGTTTCAATGCCTTCTGTGTTATTCGCCATGACAAGAAATACTCTGGTCCCCATGCAAAAGAATGGGATAGAGCTTTCTTCTGCATACGTAGTTATTCAACTTTATCTTCCAAGAAGGGATCCAAGAATAGGGTTTGTAAGAGGGAAAAGCTCCTTGATGCAGCAGGACTTTACGCTGCTTGGGCAAGATGCATTGCTGAGCAATCTCCAGCTGGCTATATGGAACCTGCATGATTCTTCTCCAACCAGTTTCTCCTTCAGCCGGAGTTTCATATCTATGGCTCATGGTCACTTAGGCGTTGGCTCGGCCGAGTTATAGTGTTGGTGGAATGTAGTTAGTTGATGAGGTCCCATCGAAGCGCTGAGCAACAGCAGAGCAGCCCAGGCAACGGCTAGTTAACCAGTGAATTAGCCATGCTATTTTATGCCGCAAGAGAGCGTAACCTGAAGAAACAAACCGTGATATTAATAACTCTTGTTATCTGTTGGGATCGTCAAGCCCAAGAAACATGGGCGGCTAGAGAGGCATAAAGGAAGCGAGAGGACTCGATGTCGACGAATTGTCAACTCGCTGGCCGATGACGTAGTTAGTTAACTAGTTAGCAGTTAGGGATGGCTTGGACCTCAAGACATCAAACAACATCTTGACATCAAGGCATCAAAGACGCGTTACCGTCACCCTAATAGGGTGAACCCTTGTTGCCTGTCCCCTCGACGTTTGAGATGGATAGTAGGTAGCAGATAGGGGGCAGGCGGCTCTAGATGATACCACTAGATGACCCTGCTAGCATCCACCACGCTTGGTTGTCATCATGATGCATACATAACATGCACTCCGCCTCGGGAAGATATGAAAAATACACCATTTTGACCGAAAGGGCGATTTGCGCTTCATGGCAGACAAAGGTGGCGTGTAAATAAGTAATTCATCTGACTGTGGATGGGACAACGGGTCGATCCACCGGTTACTTAGCTATCCTGCCAGATACGCAGAGTATAAGGCCTCTCAAATAGGCAACATCCTCCCGCAAAGAAATCCTTCACTGCACTGTGATGCTAACATTGTGATAAGGTACGCTTGACATAAAAAAAAAAAAAAAAAAAAAAAGATACCGGCTATGTGTGCCTGCTTAGCTCGCTACGAGTGTCACAAAAAAGAAGAGCGTTTCTGGGGCCATTTCACCTGCCTTACATGATCTCCGAGACGGGCAGACTTTGCCATGCATAGAAGTCGGTCTAAATAATGCCTGGACGGTCCATCACAAAAGACGAAACGCGAAGGTTGGCACCCATGTTGGCGGGAAGGCAAGTCGTGCCTGGGCCATAGAGGCCTCATACCAACTGGCACTCCATAAATTCCATCCGATTCCGCGGTTTCAACTTGCCTGATGCTATCGAAATGTGCAGGCTCCCTTGACCTAGTTCTTCCCTGTTTCGAAGCCTCTGGTGCTGCCCAATTGTTTCTCTGTCCCGTTAACGCCGGAACTGGAAGTCGTACCAGTCAGGAAGGCCGTTGAACGCCAACAGGCGGCACCAGTTGCCTGTATCTGTATCCAGGGTGCCGAGAGCTCCTGGGACAGGGGCAGGGATGCAGCCAGTTCCTTCATTGGGGACTACCCGTGATCAAAACTCCCGCAGCCGGATCTTCAGGCTCCGTGCTCTGTATGGAGCCGCTCACAGATCCAAACTCCTTCCGAGGCACCCTTGTTTCAGAACGAGTTAAGTAACAATAGGTCGGATGGAAGGCCAAATGATGCTGTGAATCCGCTTTCAAAAACTGTGGCGTTCGCTAGAAGATCCACGTTGGATGCCAGATTCCGGCTACCGAAAGGTGTACGACAAGCCGAGATCATCATGATGCTTCCAACTCCATCCCCATCATTCAAGAGATGCCCTTTCATGCCTGGAAATGAGTTATTTGCTGCGTTCCCTTAATTGGAAGAAGGGTGAAGGGCACACATACATATGGAGTATGCGTTGATATTTTATGCAGTTGTGGGGACTGTGATAGTCATGGCAATGACAAGGGCCAGCATCCAGGGTGCATAAAAATACCAAATTATATAACTGACTAGTTAACGGCCTGTTCTATTTCTGTGATCAGAGTTAGCGCCTGGGTGGAACTAGAATCGCTGAAGGAACAGGCAGTCGGAGCATCCGAAAGAGCAATGAACCAAGCAGCCTTGGAGCCAACAGTTAAGGACTGAAAGGAGCCAAAAGCAAACCAATATGTCATAAAAATAACAGCCTTGCACGCCCGATGCCTTCTTACTAAGTCTACGGCCTCGGCTTGACGGGAGTCTCTCGCTATGGCTGCGATTACGGCTATTATTGGCCCCAAGTTTGGTCATCACCAGGATCGAGTCGAACAACCAAAGAGACGGACAAGTAGCTCAAGTAACTTCCTACATATAACACAACCAACTACGCTGCTGTCTAAGTTACTCCGTATGGAGTTTATGATTAACCATGAATAATGGACGAGCAGTTCACCGATGTACTGAGTTACACACTAATGTCTAGCTGCATGCAACGGCCTAGAGGAACGGGAGAACGGCCGCTGCTGTCCTCCTATTACACAAGCTTGGCTCCGCTCCCATGACATTGTCCAGCATCAGGAGAACAGCGACAGACGACAGGCGACAGGCGACCGCGAGAACGAACAACACACCAGGAAGGACGAGGACTCGTGATGAAACACATGATAAAACACGACTGCGATGACAAGGGCGTCTCTCGACTCAGCGGCATCCACGTCGCTCGTCAACCACCACCAACCAAGCCGTGTTGGTTCATGCTGGATGCTCAGTCGCATCAAACCCACCAGACAAGACCCAAAGTAAATAAAATGAAAAAAAAAAAAAAAAAAAAAAAAATTCTTCATGCATGCTGTCAACGACACGGGCCCTTTTCCCCGTAACATCTAAGCTTGTCGCAGAATGGAGGACACAAACAGCAGTACGCTCATGGATTGGCCGGCCAGTTTCGTTGAGCAGGGGTTATACACGCTCTACACCTAACTCCAGAGTGACCACTTATTCCGGATACGACTTATTACGATGCAGGCAAACAGGCCTGGCCTGGACGGAGAACAGACGATAACGGAATATATTTTACGACCAAAAGTCAAAATAGTCAACATGATAACAGCATACGGAGTGGCTGTCTGATGCTATCCATCTGGCTTCGGAGTAACTACACTAAGTAGACTCTACCCTGCGAGGCCAATTAGTTAGTCAACTGCCTACCTAGGCAGCGTTAGTGAGGGCATCTAATGGCTATCTAAGTAACCAACAGTTGAGGAATGCGCCGGGCTTTCAACCCGCACAAAGCGGAAATCGACATCTATCAACATCGACAACTCAATCAGGCAACGCCAAAAAACTGCCCAAAATAGCCAACTATATAGGACCCCAAAGAGTCATCATCGTCGACCAAAGCAGGACTGGCCAGGAAGAGATTCTCAAACAATGCATGAAACACTTGACGCCCGTCTGTCTGCACGATGTGATTGGGCCTGCATCTTCCCTTCACGCTTGACCACTAACGAATGATCTCGCCCGCAAGGCCTGCATCTTCAGACTGGCGCCCTCACCTGCATCCAGAGCAGGCATGATTTGGCCATGCTGGTCTGGCTTGAAGCTTGGCCACTGTGGATCTCCTCATTCTTCTGCTTCCCTTTGCTTTTTTCGCCTTCGCTCGCTCTTCGCTCTGCTCGCCCTGTGAAAAAAGAAGAAAAGAGGAGGATTTGCTGCTATTCTTGTCAGGGGGCCTTGTAACATCATCGCAGATGTGAGCGCGTATTCTTGAACGCAAGAGGTCAGTCCAGCTTCCCGCCCATGGGTTGCTTCCTCGAAATAGAACGCTTGCGTTGATCCATGGCTGGCGGTTAGGTGCTCAGCGCCCTCTCTCGGCCAGTCGTTTGTCATGGGCGAGCTCACGACGGGACCGCTAACGCATCAGCAACCGCCGGGCCCAGGGGTGGACGACGGGAGACAGGCAGAATACAGCCTTTTCTTTGCCTCTCGAAGGTTCATGCTGTCTTTCCCCAAGAGGCGCTGTGAGGGTATATATTCATGCACCACACACTCCCCTCCTTGCCTCCTGATCTCTCTGCCTCCTCCATTTCTTTTATATCACTAAAGCAGGTTCTCTTGTATTATTTTCTTTCCGTTCTCCTCCTTCGCTCTCTTTGGTTGCTTCTCCTTCACGAGAACTAACCACATGCCTATTCCCTCCCTCGCTTTGCCCACACATACATAATATTGCATCAGAAGGCGTTTGATACGTCTCACGAGTCTCTTTACCTTTATCTCTTTTATACATTTATTAGATCTCATTTTCCCCCATACCACATAAAAGCATTTTGCATTTTTGTTTTTGGTTTTTTGGCCCTGGGTTTATCATCGTCGACTATACTGTCCGCTGTATCTGGAATACTCCGCCGGCCGTCGGTTACACTTCTTGCAGAGATCTGAATAAGCCAGCGACTTCACCCCCCTGCTTCTGCTTCGACGAGGCGTTCATCGAGACCTGGCGACGGAAAATCCGTCTTTGCTCTTATCAGCTTGTCTGGACATCTGAGTAAGTGCTGCCGACCCCTGGCGTTTGCATGCATTCCTTTTCACCTCTTTTTTGCCCCCATCACGGCCTGCCGAGGAACAACTCCATACATCTACATGCAGGCATGCGGACTACCCCCTGTGTGGCTGTCGGCCGGCCGCCTCTTCTTGCATGCATTCTCATTCATCCTTTGAGCGCCGGCATAACTAACAGATGCAGCAGAATAACATCATCGATCCGCCATTACTTGCTACTTTATTTTACTTTACACCGCGACTCTCTACGGGTTGCCCTTTATTAGCCTGTCTGCTTTATTCCGCTGGCCGGAATCTCTTGGAAGGACAGAACTGCTAAGCTTCTTTAATTTACAACATTATATCCATTTTCCAACTCGACAAACAACCCCCCTCCCCTTTATCTTCCTACCACTCTACATCTAACGATACCGGGTTGGTCTCAAACACGGACGCATATTACGAGCAATACCAACTACTCCTGCTTCTACTACTCCCAATATCAAAATGGCAAAGTCCAACGTTGCTCTTAACCGTGCAGCTCTCAATGAGTTCATCTCTATGCCTGTTTCATGCGAGATGATATCTTACCTGGCTAGACAATCATCTATGGTTATTAGATGCGAGGAACGTGCTATACGAGGACCAGTCACCCAGCAAGGCACTCTCACGCCGCCAGCGTCTCCCGATCTCAAGGCAGCTGAAGAGCCTCATCTTCCTCCCCTGCCACCATTGGAGTCGTTCATCTTCTCTCTTGTTACCCGTTCTCATGTCGAGGTCCCTACTCTCATGACATCTCTTGTCTTCCTGGCACGTCTCAAGAACAAGCTACCGCCAGTCGCCAAGGGCATGCGATGCACTTCCCATCGTATCTTCCTCGCTGCTCTCATTCTGGCTGCCAAAAACCTCAACGACTCGAGCCCAAAGAACAAGCACTGGTCTAGATACACCCTTGTCAAAGGTTATGAGGGCTTCGGTTTCTCCTTGCCAGAAGTCAACCTGATGGAACGCCAACTTCTCTATCTGCTCGACTGGGACACCCGTGTCAACGAGGAGGACCTCTTCATCCACTTCGAACCCTTCCTTGCTCCCATTCGCAGCCACATCCAGGCTCAATGTGACATGGAGATGGAGCGTGAGCGTGAGCGTGAGCGTGAACGAGAGCTTGCCGTCCGTGCAGCTCTAGCTCAGGCATCCCGTGACCAAAGTCCTGCTCGTGGCCCTAGTGACTATGGCATGCAAGCTGGCATCTACGATTCTCCCCGTTCGATCGCGGACAATTCAAGTGACCGCATTGCTCGTCATAAACGTCGGCAATCCCTGCAGCGATCTGGTCGATCTATTTCCCCGCCTTCTGTCCTCGACCTGCCTGCTCTCGGTCACGCCGACTCCAACCACGGCTCCTCGTCCCGATCTTCCAGTTTGACTCCCAGCTCCCGAGGAACGCCGGCCAGCATCAACACTGCCTCATCCTTTCATGAGGTTGTTGTTGCCGACGGCAGCACGAGTCCTAGCTCTTCTCACTTGGCCTACAGCTATGTCGACATCCAGATGATGCGCCCCAAGCCCAAGAGTCATGCGATCAACTTCTCAACCGAGATACAGCCACAGAAACGTGCAAAGACCGTTGGATCAGCCACTGGAGGAATCATTTCTAGATTCTTCGGCAAGGCCCGTCCCGTCGTCTAAGGCTTGAAAGATTCCTTTTTGTTTCTTTTCCTTAATTTTCCTTTGTCAAATCATACCAACCTCCTACCATCAGTTTCCGACTCCTCATTCATACCTCTCATTCCTACATCATCAACAAACTCCGAGCTGGACTCGTTAAACATCCAGCTGCCCATTACCATGGCATGAGCACAGAACACAGGCTCTAATCTGGCTTTCCTATCATATTTTCCTAACACTTTTTTTTCCTCTTGATCTTCCCAGCTAATGTACTCTGGCGACATATGCATCTAAAAGGCGTTGATTTTTGGGGTTTCATGCATTTTTCTCATTCGTTTCGTCGTTTTTATAGAGCAACACTCGCTTTCTAATGCTCTTTGATCGAACATCCATGGATGTCTACATGTTTAGCATTACTACACTCTTTCCTTAGTACACTTCTTACAGATTGAGTAGGTAATCTGATCTAGATGAAGTGATGAAGTTTCTGCTCCAGCTTGCCTTGTTTACGGATGCACCTAGCCAATCGATTGCATGGCACTAGTGCTAGTCGTCTTTTTTAGGAAG